TAAGACTTCGCACTCTACCTTCGGTTTCAAAAACGACTTCTGAGTCCTCCTCTGATTTCTTCAGTATCACAGGTCCAAGAACAATCGGAATGGTATCAGACAATTTATCAGGTGCAGAGACGTCACGACGTTGACGTTGTTGGCAGTATCTATAGCATCGCCAATCACTTCCGTTGCAAATAGACAATTGACAGTGAACAAATACCTACAACATGATTAAGAATTAAAAAGAAATTAATTCTATTAACTTCCAATGAGAACAGATCTAAAAAAAAAATTCGCTGATTTAAAAATGTGTTTCTTCAAATGTTCTTAAACTGATCTTCTTTACTTGGACCAAATTAAGGTATTTTTAATTATACGCAATTATGGTACGTCCAATCTCATTATTTCTGTAGACGTTTTGCTAATAATAGAAGTTTTCGAATAATAACATATGTCGTACGGGGCCGTATGTAGGCCTACATTAGTCGTTTTCTAGTCCTTAAAGCCAGGCTCCGAAGGAAAAATTGGTGTACAACTGATTAAAAAAAAAATGTCGACGATGAACTCGTGAAGGTTAATGAGATACTGAATAATTAAAAACCGTGAAGGCTAGGGGTGGGGAGGATTATTACGCCCCTTGTTCAAATATGAGTATATGAGTACAGCAATATCTCTAGTCCCTAATTAGAAAAAGTTATATAATGTTGCAGGCTCCTCAAGTTCAAGAAAAAAAAATCACTACTCTATCTACTGTAGAGTGCAATAATCCTACCGTAGAGTAATCACCATTGAAACCAAAACTTTTAAATGAAAATAAGACACGTGATGTATCTCCCGACGTTGGCTGGCCGTCGAAATGAACAGTTGAGTCTACACCACAGCTGCAGTAAAAAAGAAACGTTTTTATAATAAAACTGGATACTTTGGCCACATATGCGGATTACCATAATCATTATATTTCTGAAAATGGATATAAAATTTTAATAAAAAATAGTATAGTCAATTAAGGCTGTACCTGTTTTCGATTAATTGATACTGTGGATTAACATCCGGATCAGGATTAGGTGTCGCCTTGCAAGAATCCACAAAAAGAACCATATCGTCACTGAAAGTTTGGACACTGGCACCGACGTACACTGTACTACCAAGACTTAATTCTACAGGGTATTCCCAATATGAGTATGGTGTAGAGTAATGTTCATCTTTGTAAAGCTCCATTGTAAACGTGAAATTCCCATGTTCTCGCTTGAAGTAATCTTGTACAACAGGTTCGAAATTAACCGAAGATCGCCCTCTATTGTCAAGCTGACATTCAATGTCAATGCGAAGATCATCTTCTCGGTATATTACGGATCTACCGTCTTTGGATACGATAATCTGATTGTGGTAAGTTGTCGAAGCCACTGTGGACTGAGTAATGCGCATTTCGTGTAAAAGTTTTAATCAAGACAGAACATATTGTATACTCTCTGAATTTCTCTAGTATCGGAGTCGTCGAGAAAATGGTACTCTTACTTCTATTCCTTAAAATTAACATTCCCTTAAACAACATGGTTTATGATATATAGCATAAAGGATTTTATCGAAAAAAAGTGAAAAATAATAATCAGGCATTAGTGCTTTATTGGGCTTTTACATGTGACTTTTTCGCCCAAGTAAATATTTCTGCTAACGCAATACAAAATACACATCTAGATGTGTATAAGAGACAGGTTGGGGGGATGTGTATATTTCAATTATAATTACCGTTATTGAGGTTTGACATTGGTCATAACGAGTGTAAAGATAGATCCATCGAATGCCGTTTCGATAAACATACCCAGCGGCAGTACACGAAGAATCAATGAAGTGCGCATTGTTGGCGTTTTCAAGGGAAGCGTCCAAGTAAACGGTCATATAGGAACCACTGCATACAACATCTGTAAAGAGTGTAATAAAGAACATAAAATCAACTAAATGGGTCAACAAAATAAATATTTGTTTTATTTCACTCTATCGAACCAGATGAAAATCTTTCAGAATTTAAAATCAGCCAAATAATCATTACTACCAATAGTGTGTTTTCCGATGTATTTAAAATAATTATTATCTTTTCCAATTTTTGAGACACTTGAAACTTTTTATCCGAAGTCTATCGTACCAGTTTTTGATCCCAAGTCAGTTTCTTGCGATGTTAAAACTATTTCTAAGGAATGAACAAGAAAAGAAAGGTAATTAAAACAATATTATTATTACTATTATTATTACCAACTCCATCGAATGTTCTTAATTTGTTTCAGTTAAATAATTTAACATCTTTCTCGTATGCCATTAAGACTTACCGGTTGTATAATCAAAGTCAAATTCTGGGGTTGTATTTATCTCTAAATGAAAGAAAAAGGAAAAACTATTTGAGAAACGTATTCCTGTTTTTTAAAATATTATTATTACTATTATTATTACCAACTCCATCGAATGTTCTTAATTTGTTTCAGTTAAATAATCTAACATCTTTCTCGTATGCCATTAAGACTTACCGGTTGTATAATCAAAGTCAAATTCTGGGGTTGTATTTATCTCTAAATGAAAGAAAAAGGAAAAACTATTTGAGAACCGTATTCCTGTTTTTTTTAAATTATACTAATAAAAGTTATAACACTAGTTTTGCCACCGGGAAAACAAGGCGCTGAAAATGTTATTATTACCATGTTACCCATGTCATTAGCAGACTGGCACAAAGTGCCACTTTACCAACTTCATTCCATAAACTGCATGGGAGTGAGGAATTGATCTTTGTCCAGACTATAAAATGTGACGTGTGATATGCCATGATCATAATGACATAATAATATTATGACCGGGGGGGGGGATAAGATGTCAGATTGGGAGGGGGCAGCTAAGTATTTATAGGTGTAACTATAGTGCGAATACTATATAAACTATAAACTTATCTCGAGTGCGTATAA